TCGTTGAATTTTCATAGGTACTCGGCAAATATTGTCGTGCTGTGATTTTTATAATTCTTGATAAATACTTAGTGTTTATTTTAAAATCAATTAACTTAGATCTGATTGAAAGTAAGTGATAGTTACAAAACAAGGTAGGATTAGGATTTTATATACAAACATTTATGTGTCAAAGGTATTGTTTTGTTCGACTATTTTAATTGAAATAGTTTGATAGGGAGTTTGCTAAAACTTTTAATTTAATGTTTGTATTGTATATATAATGCTATATAGGCACATAGCAACTACGACTTTATATTCTTAATAAGGTACCTATCCCTGTGGAGGCGGGTGCGGTCTAAAAATAAACTGAGCCTGACACGAATCAATTTATGTCAGTTACTTTAATACATACTTGTTATTGATAAGTATTCATTAATAAATGTATATTAAGTGAATAATTGAGTGTAAATTTAAGATGTTCGAAATAAACTTTAACTGAAATAAATTTTAAATTACATTATTTCATAAACTTACTATAACGTACTAACGTTATGTTACATTACTTAAAATACATGTTTACATTTTAAAGTAAACTTCATTTTATATTTGTATTTAAGTTTTAAAATAAGACAAACATAAAGTATTAGAAGACCAAAAGCAATAATAAAGTAATTGGATATAACAAGTTAATCTTTCTAAGTACATTGTTACTTAAATGGTTTTATATTTTATTATTTTAAATCCTATTTATAGAAGCCTTTGAATACTGACTTCTTATATCAATTACATTTGTTACTCTATTTAAAAATGACTACTTGTACTATTCGACTCAAAGACGGCGACCAATTTATTCTGCTATCATCATCACTATACGTCCTCACTGAGGGGCTCGGAGCCCCTAAGTTAGGGGTGACTATGCCATAGTCTACCACGCTGCCCACTGCGGGTTGATTTCACACATATCTTTGAATTTCTTCTCCGATATGTGCAGGTTGCATCTCGATGTTTTCCTTTACCGTAAGAACGTCTAATAAATGTACATCTGTAATTCGAAAAGACTTTAGTACATGTTTGCTTTTATGCTGTTATATTTTGGTCAATAATTAAAAGAATCATCCATTGTGAGATGTCATTAGAAAGTCGTACTATTTGTAGAAATGTGACTTTTTATTGGATCGTACTTTGTGTTATGTTATATTTAAAGTTATGTGTTAAAACCTAGATTTTTCTTCTACGGAGGATAACTGCGTAGAATGCGCGGGATGGTGCGTAGTGAATGAAAAGATGATCAACAAGTCGCTCGTAACGTTGGCAGTGCGCGACGCATGCGTTCTGACATCTCGAATGTTTTTTTATTCAATATGGCGTCTATAATTTCTTATAGATTCGGCCAGTATTTTATATATAAGAGTTGAGAAACGTTGCCGTCTACGCATTGATATTATCTTGTCATTGATAGATGTGGGGGTCATTTTGTTATCTGTGGTATAGTACATAGTTATCTTCTATTTTCATAGTTAATTTCGTATTGAGTGTTCGATGTGTGTTTTAATACTATTATATGCACCGAATTAAAATATTATTTGCAAGAAATAGGTAATTCGTTAGCTAATTTAATTCGGAAAGCTACCGATTTGTTGATTTGTCAAATATTGTTTACAGTGTTGTAGTTGTTAATCGTTAACGGATAAATAATTATTTGTTTTTTAAATATAAGACTGTTCATGTATGTTGTATTTTTCCATGTGCAGTCTTGTTATTTAATGTTTGATCGCATTGTAACCAAAAAATTATAATCGGCTACTTTAAGTAACAAATTAATTCCGACCAGTGTTGTATCACTAAACTATCGATTTAGTTATGTTGATCATATAATATAATATTAATGAAGTCATTGGAGTCCAAAACTAACCTCGCATAAAATTATTGTTACTAAAATAACTTACGTGCTACTTAATTCTAATTACTTAGTTTTTCACACAAAACGCTTTAAATTAATTATGTGCATTCTGTAATTAAATCAATTTAGTATAGTGTTTCATTTATTTAGAACTTTTTAAGTAACACATAAGATAATTGGGCTCACGACATCGCAGCATATACTTTGTCGTGTTTTTGCCGCGTCAGTAAACACCCCATCATCCTTGTTTTAAACTAATTGACTGCACAGCTTGAGAGCTATTGTTTTGGTCCCCTTTTCGATAGGATGCAGGAGAGCTTTCAACTTCATGTTTCGATGCTTTGTTAGCGATGTCTGAAACTCTCTTTTGACGTCAAAGTGCGAATACTTTGCTTGATTAGTATTCGTGTTTTGAAAAATAGTCTCACGCATTATCACTTGATTCTATTCATTGAGATTCATACAACCTCTTGCACGACCTTCTCCTCAACATCATAAAAAGTTGTAATATTTTTGTATTCTAGAGTTAATTTTGTCTCAGGTGAATTATCCAGTCGCCATGCAGCTCCGTGGGTCTGTGTCGAGCAGTACCGCGCAGGTCACCTAGACCGCCCACACGCCTCGCCTCGTGCCTGACACAACGATATCCCGCTACAACAATGTCGCTCAAAATACTCTACCTTATCTACTCCGCCCTTATATGCTCATATGGTAAGTTTACAATTGTCGCAAAGATTTAATTCATAATTAAAAACTGTCAAACTATTGTTAAAGCATTTCAAATGAACTAAGAAACAAAATGCTAAAAAAATAAATTGATTATGCCGGACTCTTGGTTTGAATTGAAAGTTTAGCTTCTTAAACTAATGAAATTACCCATTAATGTTATGTGTGTTAGTGTGCGGTGAAGAAGCTGCGCCGTTGGCACAGCCGCGGCCGGCCAACGCCACTGCCGACCCAGCGGATACTCGCTCCGTAGGCCGCGTGCCGCCTTACGTGCCGCCACACCAGGCGCCCTACCAGCCCGCCGTCGGCATCGCGCCGGGACTACAGCCGCCCGGCTTCAGACCTCACAGTCCTTACACGCGAGTTGACTCCTGGCATCGTGAGTATTAACATCCCAACACATTCATATGATTGATTAGTCACCAAAGTCTGACGATACGGGTTATTAGTTTGATTAAACTTCATTACATGACACAATTCTTTCTTTGTTTAGATCGTCACGTGGCCATTGATTCTGACGTCATAGCGGAAGATTTCGATGATGATGCCGACGACGGTGACTGCAACCATCCATGTCCTGCCGATCATTTCTCTTGTCAGGTAATATCTCTTTAAAATTGACGTCACTCCTAGCACGCTTGTAAGATTGAGTAGAAGTGGTAAACATGAATTGGTGGACTAATTGTTTTTTATTAACGACTATATTTATGGTATAGGTGTCATGTACCTGCATCCCAATGGAGAAGCGTTGCGATGGCATCGCGGAGTGCGCGGAGGCGGAGGACGAGCAAGGCTGCGCGCGCGCCTGCGACGAGAGTGACAACCGCACGGTGTGCCATGCCACCGGCGTCTGCATTGCGCTTACGTGGCTCTGTGACGGTGACAACGACTGCGGGGACTTCTCTGATGAAACACACTGCGGTACACTTAATAAAAACCATATAGTTAAAAACTACAAAACAGTCATTTACGTTACCGCTCACCAGCTCAAAACCTACCAATATTCTTAAGAGCGCGCGCACACCTTTGACTAAACTATCGCACAACTGTTTAGTCGCGCTTTGATAACTATGAGCATATATGGAGGTGTGCACACTACTCGATTTTTAGTTGTGCAACCAAAAAGTTTAATTGGCTGCGAAACAATCGACAATCGCACAATAGTTGTGCTATAGTTCAGTCAAAGGTTAACTAAGCCCGCTCTAACTGTTACGGATTTCTGACTTTAAGTTGTAAAATGGAAACAAGAAATAAGAAGTAATTAGACATTTGCAACTATTAAAACAGTTCCGCTAATACGAACGAGACAAGCAGGGGATTCTTTACATGCTGATACTGAGCTGTTAACTCACAGACGGCACTAGCAACTGCACAGTCGACATGTTCACGTGCACGAACGGCCTCTGCATCCACAAGGACTGGGCGTGCGACGGAGACAATGACTGCCGCGACAACTCTGACGAAATAAACTGTCCCAAGGGCAAGTAAGTAACTATGTCTTCTTCTAATTACATCTTTATTTATACAACTAGGTTTCACCCGCGATTCCGTAAGCGTGGCATTAGAAAAAATCAAAAGTCCTACACTAAATTTCATCTAAATTTGTTCAGCCATTTAGGACAAACTCTAACAAACATCCACTCATTCATCTAAAATTTCGCATTTGTAATATTAGTCTGATTACTCTCTTATTTAAATCTTTAGATTGTCAGGAATTTGTCAAACAAACATGAAGAAGTAATTTACTGTAATACCAACTTTTAAATTTGTAATTTAGCCTCACATTTATTTTTAAAGAATGCTCAGTTATATATTATTTTTAATTTATGTCATCTATATAGCCATTTCTTCTAGGAATATTTTAATGAGGGTTTATAGGATATATGAATGATCTTGTTCACGCTTTAGAGTAGTTGAGATTGCATTTAATGTGCTCGACTCTCCCCTCGTTGACGCCTCGCTGGCGCTGAGGAGGTCATGACAACACGTGTATTTCCACGACAGGATTTCATATACAATGCCGAGTCACGTACAACCTTTCAAAGGTTTGACTGACTGATTACGTCATAAAGGATCATTATCATTGCTGTTTACAGAACTAACATATGTGTACAATTACACACTGACAATTCATATGTGTCCATTCCATGCACTGAGGATCCCACTTAGTGACAGTTACTCATATTAAACCCATCTAGAAATTACTCTAAAAATGTATAATCTATCGAATGTGTCTTTTGTAAGTTATTGTCGACACAATATCTTATAATATATAGAAAGTGCATACGAGTGTATTTATATGCTTTTGTTAGCAACGAAAAATAATGACTACATTCTAGGAAGTCAACTAAGGATAAGAACGGTACACTTGAAATGAATTGCACTCAGGGTCCCCTAGCTGTCACACGGGTTCCCCGCGTGTTACAGACACGTGTCACTTCACGCACTAATAAATTAACGTCGCGAATGATAAGTGTACGAGTTGCAGTGGTTACGCTTTGAAAGTGACTGCGTTTGACGCGTTTCAATATTTACGTTGCCGTGTTTAATCTTCTCTACTCTATTCGTAATTATTTCAAAATTAAATATAATTTAAGTAAAGATTATAATGAATTTTGTATTACTATTTGGATTTAAAATCACTGACTTGATGACGATTACCAAGAATGTAGAATTCGGTATGAAAGAAAAAAACGGATAGTTTAAAACGCCAGAACTCTGTTCAAGTATAATTGATGTGTTAAGAATGTACAAAACTCTACAACAAGCTTTATGGCACAGTATAAGTCATCACCAGCTCACTGTACGTCTCTACCGAGGAGCTACCCTAAGTGTCTAAGTGTAAGGGGTGTCTAGGCTTTAGTCAACGACGCTGACTCACTGTGGCTTGTTTGACCTAAAAAAAAAGACTCACACATATCTTTGAATTTCTTCACAGATATGTGCAGGTTGCACCATGTTTTCCTTTACCGTAAGAACGTCGGGTAAATGCACATATGGAATTCAAAAACCGAAAATCACATTGGTACATGGCGGGATTCGAACCCAAGACCTGTAGATTACAAGTCAAGTGCTTAAACTTCGGTGTCACCGACGTTCTAACTATAAATACGTTGTATGATAAAGAGATTAGATATTTTTTTTAACGCGGCTATTTTTAATAACAAGTATAGTCGCGTTAAAATAGCAGTACCTATTTAATCAATGGCAGTATAGAACGGGACAATGTCAACAACTGGCCCTGCGTACATTCGTGTCAAACGGATTAATGTCAAGTATGGAGAGAGTGAGTGCTCATTGATTTAGTCCGTAAGATTCAATGAAGAGTGGATTAACACAATTGCAATAATAAAATATGCTTTTTCAGTTACTACCAAGTCGTAGGCAAGCACTTAGCCACCATTTTCTCACGTTAAAATTAATTTAAGTGCTTACTTTTATAAATGAAAATTTTAACTTGTGTTTATGCGAAATAAAATACAAATAAAGATTTAGACGACATTATTTTTAGTTCTTTATTAATGATCAAAAACCAATTATATATAATGTAATCGTGAATTCTGTAAGTAAAACTGAAATTGCATATAGCGGACCTCGGCTGGCTTTTTTCGCTCGTCGAGTTTGTGCGGGGGCTTGCGAGCTAGGGGATCAATACTGGCGGAGTGGGAGGCGCGCGGGCGGCC